AATAATAAATTGGTAGGTGTATCGGTGAACAATGAAGCCCAATTTATGCAAACTTCATTAGATAAAGAAACCGGTTATCATATCCCTAATCGAATTCGATATACATGGGAAGGAAGGACTTTAGATACAGAAGAAGGTTTTACTGCAAGAATAGAAATTAAACCAAAAATTCTGATGGATAAGATTGATGTGTTAAATGAGGTTCCTTATTTTTTGAAAAAAATTGTACAAGGTAAAATAATTATGAAATTTTTATTTATAGCTATATATAATGATTGAATTTTATATATTTTTTTTTATTGTATTAGCATTCGTCGCCAAACCATACGTATATCAATGGTTCAACGACGCTACGGCTTATATTAAAGTTGGTGATAATGAAGAGATTACCTACAAAGGAGAAATGTTCAGCGAAGCTACTTTTATTTCATAGTACAATTTCAACTAATTTTATTATTTATAATTTTGCTAAATGTTTACAAATTTAAAATCATTTTTAATGTGAACAATATAATGTATTTAAATCTTATAAAGTACATTACTCGACAAACACGTTAAAAAATAGATGTTTATAGAAATGTTTAAAGCTTGATTAAATAATTTGTTAACCTAATAATTCGGCTCTAGCATTATCGGCGATACGTTTTGATTCTTTAGACAATTCATCCGCAGCTAATTTTCTTTCATCAATCATAGCACTTAGCCTTTGTTTTGTCATAGGTGTATTTGTTGTAGAAGTTGCATCAACTTGATCAGAAGTTGTACAAAGACTTGTTATTCCATTAGAACGTGCACGGCTTTCAAAATGCTGGATTGCTGCAAGAAGAGTACTTAGTTCGGCTGTTATTTGATGTTGATATAAGGTAAGAAGTATAATATAATAAGCATAAGTGCATATCAAAGGAAAAGTCTGTAGTTACCTGCTATGGAAGAAATTTGACATGGATATGAAAATGAATTTTCTCTATTTGTTAATTTTGTTAATAATGTTCATTAGTTAATATGGAAGCCATAAACAATTTTTTTTTAAAAAAAAAAGTTACGAACATTTGACTAAAGATTTCAATACCACTTTTCTCGATTATATCCAATTCTGAAATTAAGTCATCTAAAATCTTTGAAAAGTCTTCAGGATGTTTATGAGCCATTGATGTTTCAAGGCGCGAATTAAGTGTCGAATAAATATTTTTATATCAGCTATCTGATTGGCTGACAAGTTCATAATGAATCTATAAATTATAAATATGCCAAACACGTTTTCACAATTAACGTTAAAAAACAATGTTACGACATATTATCGTTTTCATATCCGGAAACGGGTCTAATCTTCAAGCAATAATTGACTCAGTACAATCAGGAACCCTCGAATGTAAAATTGATTTGGTAGTTTCTAACAAAAAGTCCGCTTACGGTTTAACGCGTGCCGAAAAAGCCGGAATTCCTACGCTTGTTTTTCCTTTGAAACCTTATAAAGACGCCGGAAAAACTCGTATAGAATATGATATAGATTTGGCCAATAAAGTTAGAGAATATAACCCTGATTTAATTGTTCTTGCAGGGTGGATGCATGTTTTATCCAAAGAATTTATAGATCATTTTAATGATAATATCATTAATTTACATCCAGCGCTACCAGGTCAATTTGATGGAACAAATGCTATCAAACGAGCCTATGAGGCATTTAAAAGGGGAGAAATCACAAAAACGGGAGTTATGGTTCATAAAGTAGTTCCAGAAGTTGACAAGGGGGAACCGTTAATAATTGAAGAAGTTCCAATATTTGAATCTGATACTTTGGAGGATTTAGAGGAACGAATTCACTCGGTAGAACATAGAATAATTGTTCAGGCCATCAAAAAGTTTTTAGGAATATGAACTCTTTAACTTAGTGATTAGATATTAAACATTGTGATTATTAACGTTAACAGTATATATATCGTATGTAAGGATAGAACTATTGGAGATTTAGGTTGAAAAGGAATTCTAAATGCAACCCAAGTTGATACTAAATCCAAAAGTAATCTAAGTTGATTCTAACTTTGATAATAAGTGTATAATCGACTGACATAACGATTGTTAAGTGGTAGATCGCACTCGAAAGGTATAAATTTCATAGTAAAAATCGACGGAGAATTACTATTATTTTCATATAGTGTTGGATTCCTGGCAATATATAAAAATCATATAGTTATAAAAGAGAAATTGCAAATTACTCGCATTTACTAAAGCGATTTGAATAATCATACCCGCATCCTACCCCTATATTAACTTATTTTTTATACCTTTTGACCGCGATTTGCCTTTTAAGGTATATTACATCTTATCATTATAAATACAAATTTTTTTATTACTGTATATTACCGAAAATAAGCAACCAACATGTTGCAAAAAAGTGAGACTCTTTTTAAGCTAAAGTGAAGAGGTTGCTTATATTCGGGTCCAATTTTATCAGTCAAACACAACTTTCGTCAAATTTTCGGCTCCAAAATCTGGGGAGTTGCTTATTTTCGATAATATACGGTATGAGTGCTGCAGAGCAAAAACTCATAACTGACAATAGTAAATCATTATGATCAGTTACAGGTTTCGTTCTGCAGTACTCGTATATTATATATATTTTTATATTTTTATTTCTCTTTTTCATTCTTTATAACACTTTCTATCCGTTAAGATAAAATAAATCGTTCTTTAGTTCATCTACGAGTCTCCGGTCAATTTGTGCTAGGTAAAAATAAAATAAGTAGATTCGTGCAAACTATTTCATACCTAATAGCTGCGACGAAATATTTCGAATTTTAATAAGTAATCGCCCGCAACATTAATCATACCTATTACCAAACATCATATTTCTCAAATTTCTTTCAAGTTTATCTAGTAAACTGATTGTTGCATACACATATCTAGACCGCTGAAAGCCTGTGTGGTATTCTTCTCTTCACTACAAGATCATAGTAATTTTGACGATTACTTCCCCAACATAGTGATTGATTTTTTCTACCAAATATAGGGAGAACAATTAAATATTATGCCTACCTCAAAAGGCGATGGCTGTCCCTATTTTTCGAATTCGAATGTTTTATGAAATTATATGAATTAACGAATTAATTCTCTTCGTTGTCGATCTGGCTAATGATTGAATGATTTATTTTTCAGTTTTGGCTTTTTTATTCCACGCAGATTTCTCTCGGAAGCTTGATAGCACAATGTAGGTAAAAACGAAAATTATGTATAATGTAAAAATGAAGTAAAAATGAAGTAACCTTCATACCCAAGAATATTCAGACTTATGCAATTTCAGCGATTTTTCATTATTAAACAATGAATTCTTAAAATCACAAAAGTCTGAATACTCTAACTAAAGAACGGCCTCCTTCGATAACATCTCAAGTGTACCTAAATGGTAATGGAAAAAAATATGAGAGTCTGTGGTTTGAAAGATCAGTTGGCTTATAGAAAAAGATTCTTCTTTATCGTAACTACACTGCACATCTTGGCCATCTACCCGGGCCAGTCACTTCAGCGTTGTCCTTTAGATGATTATAACATACTACATTGCCTTCTTATCTGGAATTATTTCAAATTCAACTCGACTGACTTCTTAAGCTCTAATGTACGATCACAAGCATTTTTTACTTGTAGCAAGGGATCAAATTGCTGGCTTGTGTTCCTAAATGTGTCTATTAATACCACGCGAAGCGGAACGAATTATGTCAAATGTGGTGAGAACGCGTATTTTACGTATTTTTACGATAAATCGGCATAATACAGTATATACTATTACTATATATATATGTGTAGAAAGTCATTGAATTTCGTGGCAAGTGTTTATTCTTGTGCTACGTATATTACTATATTTAGAGCATTAGATTCGTATAAATTGCAACTGGAGTTTTACATTCTTACCTTTATGATTCATTCTCAAATTTTTCTTATCAATAACGTTTTTAAATAGAATTCATTTTAAAAAAAATACAGTCTTCGAATAATGAACCTAGAACTACGAAGTAAGTTGACTAATTTTAGTGTATACTTCCTCTTCAATACAATAGTTGCGCTCTGGTTAACCACTATAACATTTCTCGGATCTTTAAATACGCAGGTCCTTTCGATTTAGACTATCCCTCAAAATACGAATCATCCATTAGAGATGGGCCAGTTCGCTGTATTAGTTTTAATAAACGAGGCACGATGTTAGCAGGCGGCTGTAGCGATGGCTACTGTATCGTTTGGGATTTTCAATCAATGAGCGTGATTCGAAAAATGAAGTGTCATGTCTCCTCGATAACCAGCGTAAGGTAACTTTCTCACACATCGCGTAATGAAACCATTCGCAAGTTAACTGGTTAATTTTCGACTCATTAATAACCTTTTTTTTATTTTTTTTTATGTATAGTTGGTCACGTAACGGTCTCTGCATACTTTCGTGTGGTGAAGATAATAAATGTGTCTATTGGGACCTAAAGAAAGGCACCCAAAAATGGATACGATTCGACAATAACGTAATTATGGCACAAATGCATCCGAAAAATAAGTTAGTAAATATCTACTGCCTGTTTTTTTTTTTTTGGAAAAATTCATTAAAGTATTTCGTGACTTATTCGTCAATAATAGTTCTATATTTGTCGCCTCATTATCTCAAGAATCACCGGTTATTGTGGAAATAGGCGATACAATAAAGCGATATCCTCTGCCGACAAATGCAGATACATCGTCTGACACGAATATTAACGGCGAAGAATCGACCAATTCGATAAAGTATGGAATCTTCCAAAACTCTCCTGTTCTATTGCACATACTTGTTAAAATGGTCGGATGAAACTTACTTGTTACTGATGATAGGCAATAATAATCCGCTCTATAGTAAAACAGTTGTTTGTCGATATGACAAACGAGGCACGCGTATTCTCTCGGGAACAAGTAAAGGATATTTGAATGTAATCGATCCCGAAACTCGAAAGGTAGTTAACTCATGAACAATTTTTATTTTTTTTTTTATTTTTTTGCTTATTCTTTTTTTTTTTTCCTTTTTAGATATTACATAATCCCAAAATTAGCAACTCTCCGATAAAAGATATAATTGTTAGTCGCAACGGCAAGTACGTACTGCACTCAGTTTTCACCATTTATGCGATTATAATTTATATACTTTATTCTTCTTTTTTAGGGAGGATGATTTCTTTATTTTATCTTAATAGAGACGTAGTCGTACATACTCAGGACAAAACGATTCGTCTTTATTGGTTGGATGAACAAGGAATACATAATTCAGAGCTGCAATTCGCGGAAACAGTCAATAAGAATAGTTGGAATCAATGCTGTTTTAGCCAAGGAGGAGAATATGTAATTGGAGGTTAGTATATTATTTATAATAATAGTTTTGCTTATGAGCGTTGATTATTCATTTTATATTATTTTATTTATTTTATTTCAAGGTTCCGCTAAATTAGCGACGCATCAAATATTCATATGGGACATAAGAACCACTAGACTTGTTCAAACGCTGCAGGGACCATATGAAAACCTAGTAGACCTTGCCCAACACCCAGTACAACCAATTATTGTGTCAGTGGACGAACAAGGGACAATGCATACATGGACAACGCGGCACAAAGAAGATTGGGTTAACTGGGACCCTGCCTTTACAGAAATTCATGACAATATAGTATATGAGGAAAGAGAAGATGAATTTGATATTGTGAACGAAGAAGTCCAGTCCGTACAATATAATAAAAGTCAAAAGTTTGAAGACGAAGATGAAGAAATTGACGTTGTGACAATTGATAGGACAACACGATCAGACTCGTCTGATTATGAAGACGAATTCATTAATCTATATGATTCCGAGGTTGATTATAACAGCCCCAGTGCGTAGTGAAGTTTTGTTAGTCACGTGAACATGAACATCAGTAATGTAACATAAAAACTATTACAGCAGAAGTTTCTGAAACCAAATTCGCTGCATACTAAGCTCGATTTTTTCTTTTTTTAATAACTAATTTTTGTGCATTAAGTAAACTTGTTCGTAGTAACGATCTTACTCGTAGAATTCACGAAAAATAGATAATATTTTATTAATAAGCTGAGCTATTGAATTTGTGCGAAAAAAATTGTTTTTTTTTTTTTTTACACTTATAAAGGTTTCATTTTGAATGCCTCAAGTTCATTATCCGTTAGGGAAAAATAATTCGTAAACGATCACCCAATTTTAATTAATTACTGCATGTTTGAATCAATGCTTATTTACACATATAACATTCCAAAGCGATATTGTCTACAAAACCAACGCTCATCTTTTGTGTCTTTATTTTGTTCTTTATAAATTAGTATGCTTTTATTTTATTATAACTAACGAACTACAGTATATTCATAAATTGTTATAAAAAATTATATATTTTCGGAAAAATATACTAATTCTTTAGAACGGCATTATCGTTATAGTAACAGTCAGTCAACATGCTAAAGGGTCTACTAGCAAGATTTTGGTCAAATAAATTGACATATCTGAATTTTGTATATAAAATTATAAGAAAATTTCTTTTGATTCGAATTCTATTAAAAGATGAATATAAAAACGTATATATTTTAAATTTTATCTATATACTTATTTTTCGATATTTAATGATTACTTGAAAATAAACTAGGTGTTTTGCGTAGATCTAGCGTTACCAAATAGGGTTCGGGGCACAGTGGGCAGTGGGCATGGGCATGCCTTATTGGGATGTATCCTATCGGTTGATAAATTTTTTTTAGAATTAAATTTTAGGATCTACGTTCCATATTAAATTATTATAAAACAAAATCGCCTTTAATTTCTCCCGCAATATTTAACATTTTTAAATTCTATAGAAGCAAGATGTTTAATGAAAAGTGTCTTTATAAAGTAATAACGTTAGAATTTTATCTCACTAATTCACTAATTGAAATATGTGCCATCACACGATTTACAAACATAATGCAGGCCACTTGCTACATAGTAAATCGATGGCTGGGTTTTTATAAAAATCTAATCCTTAATAACTTTGAACCAATAAACATGTACTGTACAAATAAAATTATATTTGCCGAAGCTTTTTTAACGTGCTCTTTAAATTTATGAGAAAGCCGGACAATGAATTACTATATGATCGCAGTAAATCAAGCCGTGACATATTTCAATTAGTAAGATAAAATTCTAACGTTATTACTTTATAGACACTTTCACTAAACGTCTTGCTTTTATAGAATTTAAAAATGTTAAATATTGCGGGAGAAATTAAAGGCGAAGTACGTAGATCCCAAAATTTAATTACAGAATTATATATATGATCATCACTATATCATCTGCACTATGTTTGTAAATCAACCGATAGGATACACCTAGGGATGGATCAGTCCTGAAAAGACCGAATAAGGACCGGTCTTTTTAACCGGTCTTATGGTTAACTGGTCCTCGGTCCTGAGACCAGTCTGGACCGGTCCTCAAGAATAATTCAAATAACCAATTAAAAAATACGTTACATAATCTTTTATTTTCAATTACCGACGTCACACGATTTGATTTTCTCCGCTAGCCAATAAGATTAAATAATTAAGGACCATTATTGGGACCGAGACTGGACTGAAAACATTAATAGACTGGTCTTTTTAGGACCGGACGGACTGGACCATCCCTAGATACACCCCAATGCCTTATGTCCAAAAGGCATACCCATACTAAACCCAACCTGACCCAACCCTAACCCTAACCTATAGAAACCTTAACTCATAAAATATATACAGTCAACTCCCGCTATAATCACATTGTCTGGCAGAAGCTTGATGTGACTATAGTGAGAGAAACATAGTAATAGT